GGGTTAATGTTTGGCAGTTCAAGCAACGATGTCATCGTTATTGGAGTGCCGTAATGCGCTGAAAATTATATATGTATATAAATGTATAGCTGAAGTGTTATGCATTCAGAGGTGATATTATGAAAAGAGAAGACACCTCAAAAGAGAGATCTAGTCGTACATTTTTAAGTTGTCGCCAGACAAACTGAAGTGTCCCACTGGTGTTTAAGGACGCATAGAGAGAGATATACAGACGGTCTTGTCAGGGGGTGGTATGCACCCTGTCGTGGTGACTGTCAGGTGTGAGGCGAGGACCTTGAAGACTCATATGTGACTATGTCATGTGGGAGGAGACAACGACCGGTGGTGAAATTATGCGTATCCAGGTATGCATTGGGAGCTGTTGTTGTTAAGGTGGACGGCAACTGGTCCACCGTGATCGCATAGCCTCGTAGTGCACATCAAGTTCAACGTGACGGTTGATGCTGTTCGCACTGCATTGCCAGACTTCCAGAAAATCCCGTGCCTGGTAAGTGTTAGCCATGGCGACCGCTTCTGTGCAGTCCAAATTTAAACCACGGTCACAATCAAGAGCGAGCGCAAACAGAAGAGATAAGAGGTCCCTTCGGCGGATAGCCATCTTGTATTCGTTAATGCGAGTGCCAAGCCTTCGACCCGTAGGACCATTATATAAACACAACGATATTGTAAACAAGGGATACGATGTCACGTTGTTTTGATGTTCCTTGGGTATGGGATTCGTTACCCGAGATAATGTCGTGCGTAAGGAGGACGCCGGCTTGCGGTCGATGCAGATGCCAAACTGGTTTAGTTTTCTGGTGGTCGTTTCAGAAGTTCCTTGCATTAAGAGCAAAGGAAATAATTTCGGTAAGGATTCCCTGTTGGGTATTCGAAAGGACCTTATGTATTATAACCACCTACTTATTTTTTTAAGTAGGTTGAATTACCCACAATCTCCTATCATAATTTCTTCTGCACTACTTCTCCATTAGAACTCTGCTCGTGTGGAGGACTCTAGCGTTGGAGGCGTACGTTAATTTGAAACAATAGGTGTTAGTGGAGAAGCATCTATCTTAGGAAGATACTCGGTCCGGCAGTACTCACAGGGGCGGTGTACAAGAGTCCGAACGCAGCTTCGTTTGTGGGTAGGCCGCAGGATGGCTCCTCTCATAGATGAGGATGAGTTCAGCACTGGAGTTCTTGTCTGCGAGCGTTGGTTTCAATTACTCAATATTTGCACCCTGACGTCGAGAAAAGACATAATGTCTTCTGTCGCTTCTTCGTGAGTGAACTGTATGGCAGGGAAGACATCGTTAAGACTTTGGTGCAGACGTTCAACTTCGCAGTGTTTTATAACAAAGAAAATATCATCTACGTAACGTAGCCAAATTTATGGTGTGGCTGTTTCAAACAGACAGTTTCGTCTAGCCATTGTAAGACTATAGGGGTTGTAAGACCTATAGGGGTGCTCTTCATCTGTTGGTAATCAACTTGTCAATAATTCTAAAGGCAGAGCCCACTCGTGTCTAGAACGTGCCGCGCCGAAATGTCAATGGGAGTTTCCTCTAGTTACCGAGCTACACTCTTAATGGCCAGGCCTTGTGGTGTGTAGAAGAATAGAGCAACCACATCGAGCGATATAATACATTTATCGGGACCAGCATTGAAACTTTAAATTCTCCAGAGGAAAGCATGAGAATTAGTGATGCTGTACTGTGATCCATTGACGAGGTGCCTTGCGTTTTTGTATAACCACCTGGCAAGGTTATAAGTAGGCGATCCAATTAGTGATACTATGATCTTTAATGG